TTATATATATATATATATATATATATATATATATGAAATATTATTTTGCCAAAAGAATAGTTTTTTATGCTTAGTTTAATTTTTCTATGTAAGTAAAAATTGAAACTAATAAATACAGCCAAAAAGTAACCTCCTTTTTATGGTATAAAAATATTTTTTGAATTTGGTACAAGATGGTAATATTTTTTGAAATACCATACTTATATATATATTGACATTCCAAAATTGAAAACTAATAATGTATTTTTGTTATGCGTAATAATTTTTATAACTGTTTAAAACATAAAAGAACAAAACTAAATTATACATTTTTGGGTATGTCAAGTTCCAGCTCATTAAACAAGAGTTTTTTCCCTGTCCATCAAATTTTTTATCTTTCTCTTTTGTTGTTTGAGCTCAATAATTGGAAAAGTTACTGATAGTATCTGAAGTTGGTGTGAATTAAAGTTATGGTGTTCACATTTCTGTACTATAAAACAGCTATCAAATTTAAAGTATTGAATCAAATTTATGGTTTACATTTTAGGTCAGTGATGTTAATGATGATGTTAGAAGAGCAGCAGTAGAAGCTCTGGGGTTCATTTTATTCAGGTAAGATTCACCATTTATATGCACATATGTACAAACTAAGGAACATTGTTGAATGAATTTCAAGTCTCCGTAAAACACATGCATTTAACTTTTATTTTTTTTATTTTTGAGAAAAAATTTGTTTATTAATAAATTGTTAGTGTTTATTTTATTTATGTAAAATGTAGTAAGTGGAAAGGGAGTTGAGTTTTTTACATGATAAAATTTCAGTACATAAACTAGAGAGGAGAGTTGGGCTAATACATGTAAAAACTGCATAGCAAGGAACATTAGAAATAGTTACAAAAAACATTTATTGATAATATAATACTGGTTGTATAAATTGTATGTTAGGGTAAAGAAGAGACCTAACAGTAGGTCTACAAAAAAAATAAAGAAAAAGAAAATTTATAGTGTGTAAAACTCAGAAAATGGGATCGAGTAAGAGTGAATGTGGACGAAGGCAGTATTTGTGTTTGATTCGAGAAAACTTGTAATTTGGAGGGGAAAGGTTATTGGAGTCCTTTTGTACAAACTAGATATATTAAAGAAATATTTAAATTTAATTGGTTTAATCATATAATAAGACTGGTTCGATAAATCATACTATGAGAAGACAAGGTAAGTTAAGAATGCTGGCTATGTATAGAGAAGAAAGGATGATTATTTTGGCTGGGCACACCATAAAGTGATGATGTAAAAGAAGTAATGGTAATACTAAATTATTCATTCTTTGCCAATACATGTAAGCAATACAACTGCTCAGTGTTTTCATCTCCATTATGGTTGAGGATGATGATTGTTTAGTGTATGTGAAACATTAGGCTTATAATTGGATGTGGCACATGATTGTGTTATAACTAAGTAATAAAGGAATAAAGCACTTCCTAAAAATGGATAGGTTTAACTGAATAAGTTGGAATATATAAGCATTAACACTTATACAAACATAACTAGCTGGAGTACCCATCTGTGGGATGGGAGAAATAAAAACTGGGTTGTAACAAAGGATAGGAAATTGTGCTTCTATTTTTCTCTTAACATAATAATCATTAAACGTGCAATAAAAATACATAAAGGTAACAACATTGAAAAGAAAGACATTGTTTTCAAGAATTCTAACAGTAGTGGTTACATAGTTCATTCTAATGCTGAGGGATATACAACATTGCTAGTTTTTATGAAATAAGTGGGGGTGTAGTCCAATCTGAGTCATGTTTGGTGCTGATTGGTCAAGAAATGTGGAAATGTATAAGGAATAGATATATACACACACACACACACACACACACACACATATTGATGTTTATTTATACAGATTATTGTCAAAATTACATAAATTTTAATATACACACAATTTCTTGAATTACAATTTCATCATCCTGAAAAAAATATCCTTTTACTTTCTAACTTTAGATTAAACATTCCTGCAAACTATTTGAATATGTTTCGTAAGTCTTCAAACTGATGTGGTTTTTTAAGTCATGAACAGCTGAAAATCAACACAGCCCAGTATGAAAGTTCTTTTTCAGCCAGTGATACCCCAGAATAGTATTTTTTAAGTAAAAGGTAAATACACTGTAGCTATACATGGTGTTCCATTGTGCAGTGACACACAATGAATTGTACATGGGTTAAGACAATATAACTAGAGATAATTTTTATTGAAAATGTCTTGATATCAAAACTTCAAATCATATACTAGAGTGATTATAAAGATTAGTGAAAATCTCCAAAGATTGGAGCATTTTCAGTATGTTTTTGTAGCATTATAGTTTTCAGAATGTAACAGAAAACAAACAAGTACATTTTCAGTATTTCTTTACGTAAAACATGCATAAATGGTGGCATATTTAACTAATCCAGAGCACTTGTACAAGGTGACAGATTTGAGCATATTACTGAAAGTAATATACAGAACATACATACGTGGTAATAGAAGTCACAGATTCAAGCCAGTCACTGTACACTTCTTTATAAGAACAGTACAGAACTCGCAATACATGTATAATGTACACACTAAAATAGAAAATGCCTTTACCATAGTAACAACAATAGTTATAAACATAACTGCAAATGAGGTAAAAATCTTAACAGTATTATGAAATTATGGCAAACAGTCAATATCTTGTTTCAAGGTGTTGTTCAAATTTGATAAATGCCAACGTGGAAGCTTCATTGTCAATATCAATAATTTTGTGTGTGTAAAAATGTTATATTTATTTATTATCTACAGTTTTGCCATTGACATTTTGTTATATGGTGCACGTTAATAAAATATATGAAAGACATGACCCTGAATTACCCTGATGGTATAGTCACAACAAACATATAACAGTTATTTTCCCATACCTCTGCATTTCAGAATTATATGACTGTCAGTGGACGTCTTAATTATCTTGTATGCATTAGTTAGATCACATTTATTTTGTGTGAGTTGTTTTTATAAGCCTATTAAAGGAGATCATGAAAAATTTAATTCAGCCCAACATTTTCTTAAGTATTTTTCTTTATCCTTCCACATATTCCAAGTATTTTCTATATTTCTTGTATTAGTTTCTAATGACAACAAGAAAGATTAAAGCAATGCTTGAGATTTCATGAGTATTGTTAGAAAACTCCATAAAGCATTTTAAAATTCTATAGGAAAAAGAAACAGAGAACTTGGAGATATTGTTTGAGGTTATAATTATTATTATTATTCTTATTCTTTGGAAGTATTCCATATTTCAACTTACTTTAGTGGAAGGAGGGCAGGGATGAATTAGATATGGTTGTTAGAAGAATAAAGTTAGACATGACATTGTTTATCGTGCATATGCATGAATACAAAAGTATTGTGCTTTGTGGTAGTTTAACATTTTTTTTTATCTGATTTTGGAGTTGTTTACATTCCATGTGTACCAATACATAAACTATGTGCTTTGTAGTAGTTTTATTGTCTTTTTATACCTGATTTTGGAGTTGCATTGCACCAATACGTAAATAATGTTCTGTGATGTAACTTACCCGTTTTTTGAACCTGATTTTGGGGTTACTTGTGAGTCATGTACCAATGAATAAATAAATTACATGTAAAATTATCATTCTTTAAAGAATAATTTTTGAAGAATGATGTTTACTGGCTGGAACTAACTTTAGGAGAGAGTTTTGTAAATGTGTGATTAGTCATATGCTGTTTGGCCACATTTTTATGTCTCTCGTATATATACACAAGTAACATTGTTTTTCCTGACTGGCTGTTAAGATCTTTTACAGTAGAAATTGGAAGAGAATACTGCTTCCAGTAAGAATAGCTGTGGCCATCCATTGCTGGTGGCTGACTTAGAGAAAATGTGATTAAATAGGCTTGTGAAGTGCCACAGATCTCAGACTGTGTCCATTTTTTTTTAACATTGGTCACTATTCTTTGATTATCCATTCTAAGGACTGTTTTATTGCAGTTGTTTTTCTGGATGCATTGTTTTGATGGTGCTTAGATCACAAACTATGGATAAGAAATAATTTTAACCATGTGATATGGTCTGAGGAGTTTTATTGAACCTTCTTTTGCCCTGATAGTAAAGCAAACATATATGGAGAAAATCACGATCTTTTTGATCCTGTTTGTGTTATTGGGATAGTGCAAAGTACTGGGGATGATGATGTTGGAACCATTCATGCAGCAGTGGTTGAGTCCTTTGACTTTGTTACAAGGGCAAAGAATATCCAAAGTGTATCTGATTGTTACTGGTAATTCAGTCTGCCTTTACAAAAACAAGTTTCCAGTGTGTTGATAATGTAACACTCCAATTACTGTATTATCTGAAATTGGTAAAAAGTATATCAGTTATTTTCTGTAGCCAGAACAATCATCCAATCCCAATCAAATTATGTATTTTTAGGATGAGCTTAAAAATTGCATTCACAAATATAACCCTCTGCCAACGTATATTTACTAACTTCAGGCTATAATAACACAATTTCTAGTGTTTATGGTGCTTAGGTAGCATCAAATCCATGCTATGATCACTGAAAAAAGTAGTACAACTCAATATTTTGTGAGGATCCTCAAAAAGGTCAATTTATGAAAATACTTTTTTATCAGCATTTCTTTTACACAACCAAAAATAGCACTATTTTTTTCTTGGTTTGGGAAACGTTATTTGTTATTGAGGTTTCGTGGTAACAGAATTTGAGGTAATCAACAGAAGTTTTCTGGTGACATACAAGTTAGGACTACACATGATCTTTACGTTGTGCTCTTGAGACTCAGTACTTCTTGTACCCAGTATTTACTGAATTGGTGTGTGTGTGTGTGTGTGTGTGTTTTATATCAAGACCACCACTACCGAATTATCATAGATATTCTTTTAAGAACGATTATAATCGACGTAACACCAGACTTAACTACAGGAGATTCTGGTCACTGTGTGTTAAGACTGATCTGCCCTTGTGTGTGTAAAGTGATTTTTTTCTACATCTCATTTTGTATCCTCTCCGTTTGCAGCTTTATGTAATGGAAAGAAAAATTTCATTAGTAATGTGAAGTTTGATTACACGTGCCTAGTTTCTATAAAAAATGATTGATTAAAAGTAGTACGGGTTTCTCGTCTTTGAATGCACACTCAATCAGGAAAATGACAACTTTGCAGCAGTGCGTGCTTTAAACATACTGGGTTGCATATATAAACAAAAAAAAATCACGATTACAGGCTGTTTTCTATTTCAGGCCATTTATTTTACTCAAGCCAATATTTTTATCGCAACTCGAGCACCTTAGACGTTTATTTTTTGTGCAAGCATACGTACATTATAATTTAAGTTTATTTCAGCATTATGTTCCACAACTGGAAATGTATAAAGTATTTGAGATTTGTTAATATATCATTTAAAAATCTACTATTTTACGTGTAACGAAGTAAATTATGTTGGAAACATAAATATAGAATTCCATTACTCCACAGGATGAATATAATTATATACCTCACTGATTCGTTGTCTAGAATAACCAGGAGTAACTGTCACGTGAACTCGGTTACTTCA